AATTCTAGCACTGTGTAAATGGTATGTTAAATTTAGTATTTATAAAAATTTCATTAGCTGTGAAAATAACTTGTGGGCTAGATTTTCTCACTGAAAAAATTCCAGAGTATCTTTGCTTTCCGGAAAATTTAGCCAATCATAAATTAAATGATTTCCTGGAAGCCCAACAATTTCAAAACCAAAATTATGATAGTTTTTTTCAAAAATTTTACATTAGAAAAGTTATATCTAATATGGAATTTGAGTACATTTAAATAAGATAGAGACTTTGTGAAACAGGGACTCCAAAGTAAGAATGCTCAGACCCATATTGGTTTAATACAGTCCTACCTCTATGAATCCCTTCTGTTCCTCACCCAAATGAACTAATCATTCTCTTCTGGGTCCTCCAAAATCCTTTGGGATGGTGGGCTCAGAAGGACTCATCTGTTTACTTCTCTTCTCAATTGGACTCTGGGCTACATCAGGAACAAGCCAGGTGTGATAAACCAGTTTCCTTAGTGCCTAATGCGCACATACACACACACAATCAGTAAATGGTGAATTAAAAGAAAGGGAGTCAAGATCCACTTCTTGTCTTCTTGTTGAATGAATGACTACGAGAAGCACTCATCTTTCTTGTTTCCTTCCTTTGCATATGTTGTTTGAGCTGTTCAGTCAACCAAGGAGGAAGCATACTCTACCTTAGGCAATGTGCCAGGCCTTGTACAGAGAAGGGACAGATGATTCAGCTCAATCAGACTGTGACACAGAAAAGCTCAGGGTCTGAGAGCACCCAGACTGAAGGGTGGTCAGGAGACACTTCCCAGGGGAAATGAAGTTGAGTCCCAGAAGGAAACGTGGGAATAATGATTAGCCTGACCAGAAGTAGATGGTCCAGTGGGGGAGAAGTAGGTTTCTGTTAGAGAAACAATATCGGCAAAGGCCCCAGCCAGAGGGAACAGTCTTTGTGATAAAAAAAAAAAGTACTTTAAACAGCCTAGAGTTTAGAATTTGTGGAGGGAATAATGCTCTAATGAGATTTTGGAGACAAAGATTTGTAAATTATTTAAGGATTGTCTTAATTCCCTTCCACTGGGAAGACGTTGAAGGTTTTAAATAGAAGGACATGATCAGATTTACATTTTAAAAAGATAACTCTGTGGACTGCGCAAATAGTGGACTGGATGGGGGCAATGACAAATTTGGGGAAAACAGTTGAGAGTCTATTGCAGAAGTCCGGGTCAGACATGTTTAAAAAAAAGTCTGGGTGAGGCCGGGCGCGGTGGCTCACGCCTGTAATCCTAGCACTCTGGGAGGCCGAGGCGGGCGGATTGTTTGAGCTCAGGAGTTTGAGATCAGCCTG